TTTCAAACACTCGGCTTCGGGACGCGATTTCTTTTCCATTCTTTTACCATAGATCGTATATCCCCACCCTTGCCGACTTAATAACCTTTCTTCCTCCTCTTCGATCGTCCTATCCCCTTCCTTGCGTCGCTTTTCAATTCACCATTCTTAAGGAGAATAAAGACGATCGCAGAAGGCAAATCGCGTTATTAGATTTTCCGTTCGATCGAGAAACGAATTTTTAAAATTTTTTAAATAGGGGAACAAAATTTTCGAAACAAATTTTTTTTTTCTTTCTCGTTCAATCCTTTTTTCGATTTTTAAAATTTCTTAAATAGAGGAACAAAATTTTCGAAACAAATTTTTTCTTTCTTTCTCGTTCAATCCTTTTTTCGATTTTCAATTCGAAAGATAAATATGATTAATGTTATTAAATAAAATATTCGAAAAATAAGTTCTTAGATTCTACGTTTTATCTTCGATCGAAACGAAATCTCTAAAATTTTTTAAACGAAGGAGCAAAATTTCGTCGAAGACCAATAGAAACAAACTTTTTTCCCTATAGCTTTTAATATTTTCTAAATAAAGCGACAAAATTTTGTCAAAGATCAATAGAAACAAGCATTTTTTCCCTCCATGCTCAATTCTTCTTTCGAAAAAATTTAATAACGCGATTTTCAATTCGCCAATTCGGGAAAATTAAATTTTTTTTACTTTTTCGATCGAAACTAAGTCTTTAAAATTTCCTAAACAGAGGAGCAGAAAGATTTTTTTTCTCCATGGAAAATAGAAAGAGGGATTGGTTCGATCGAATAGGAAGGAAAAGGAGAAGAGAAAGAGAGAGAGAGAGAGAGAGAGACGTGCGTGGATGGTTCTCCCCCGTAAGCTCGATGGAGGCGCGAGAGGGATCGAAGGGAGTAAAGGGAAAACGACATTCGCAAGGGTGGGTTGACTCGACGTCGGAAGCACAAGGATTCCAGCGAGTGGAAAGGGTGTAGGGGGTGGTGTTAAGCGGCTTACAGTCTGTTACCATGGTAACGCCACACCACTAAGACAGGAAGAGGCTGAATTCAACCCGCTACAGTCCCACTGTGACCCTTCTCCTCCTTCTACATTCTATATCCACTCATCGTGCATCCTGCGGAGGAACGAGGGAGAAAACGACGTGCAGAGCACGATACCAAACAGCCACGGATTACGCCACTGACTCTGTTCCTTCATGTTTCCAAAATATTTTCACCAACGAGCTTGTCCATCGTCTCAAATCGAAAATGGTCTCGGTTCGTTAATCTTTTAAGGCTTTGCCCTATTTTTTAATCATCGCTTAACATGATCCTTCACTCCATACGAAAATAATTGAAAGTCGAAAGTTCGAATAATGTTTTCAAATAAGTGCAGTAAATTAAATTTTGGATATGCAGTAAGTAGAGTTGCGTATAATTCTGTAATTTTTCGGGTTTTATTTAACTGATTATAATTTAAAGATAATAAATTTAAATTATTATTGTTAAGTTATTTTTTTTTTCAATTCGATAAAACGTAGAAAAAAAAAGTTGAATAATCATTTCCAAATATTATATTATTTTATACGAGAAAAATTCTCGAATACGAGATTTCTTATAATGCGTGTTAATTATATGATTGAAACAAAATTTTTGGAATTGCGAGGATTTCTTAAATCGTTGAATTTAAATATAATATTTTTCATTTTTGGGAATAAACGCTTTTTAAAATAGTACATTGACCTCGAATATTATTTATGCAGATTTGCGACAACAATTTAAAAAAATAAAATAATGATCAACTTAAGGTAACGTACAAATTTATAAATATCGAAAATTAATAAATTATCCAGACTAAATTTATAAAGGATCGATCGTTATATGTTTTCGCGGAGAATCGATGTAACGCTACAGCCCTGCTTTTTATGCTTTATTTTAAAAATCGTTCTGTGAAAAATAATTGATGATTTTCAGCGAAATCGAAAATCACAAGTTTGAATCAAAAATTCGCGTCGATGAATCAGACTCTTTCTATTACACTTGTTCGTTGGAAACATTTCAAAATTCGAACCACGTAAACATCCAAGTAATTAATTTATTTCCAAGAAGGAAAAAATGGAAAAGGAATGATATGCAATTTTTGGATCATTTTCCTCTGATAGTAGACGAGGGGGAATACGCAATATTTTTTTTTCTTCTCGGTCGAAAGACGATAAACAACAGGTGGGAACATTGTCGTTTTATCACACCGTGAAAATCGTGGGGCGTATGAAGTAACAGAGGGAAATATTTGTTTTATAAATGCGTAGAACAAAATTCAGACGCATAGAAATCCTCTTTCTCTCGCGATAACCATCGATTTTCAGTTGCCGATAAACAAACCGTGACAAGCAGAGCGTGGAAGTACGAGGAGACTTGTTAATTTCTCTCAACGTTTCTTTCTTCTCAATTTAATGTTTTCAAAGAAAAGAAACTTCGAATATACAAAATGAAAAAAACATTAGATATTACATTAATTTTAATTAAGGAGAACGTGTGGCTTTCGAATCTTCGTCTGTTTGAGAGAATATCTTATAATAAAAATCAACTGAATATTTTCTCTCCTTTTCTCTCTTTCAGCCGACAAACTTTCGACCGGTTTACGTTCGCCCGTTTTCACCGAATCCAAGAATAATTTCCAAAATTTCGCGACGAGTGAACCGATCGTTACGTTTTTATCAATAAATCGAACGTGGAATATCGATGGAAAGAACAAGGGAATAAAGAAATGAGTGGGCGAAATTTCCAAAGAGTTCGAAATTAAAATTCGAACGAGGCATATAAGCGTACACACGTGCACGACTTTACGTTCCATTCGAATATCACTGGCGTCGTAAATTCCGAGCAATACGCACGCATTACACCGACGTCGAGTTTCTCGTATTCGATGCACAGGAATACGCGCATATGTATAAGGGGAATGGAAGTGGAAGGGAAAAAAGAGAACGCATCGAAAGAGAGAGGGAGAGCACGGTAACCGAGCAAACCGCTCGATATTAAAACGCTGGAAAGGAAAAAAACCACGATCTGTCGTCTTACCTAAGGGATAAATTCCGTTTTCCCCGTGCTCGTTTTCTCGAAATTTTCTTCGCCGCGTGGAAACACTTTCGTTGCTTCTTTGGGGTCGAAAGGCAACGAGGGTAGAAAAAAAAAAAAAAAGAGAAGAAAGGGGAAGAGAGGAGCAGGTAACCACCGACGGGCTTCGTGTCAGATCGTGGTTGACCTTTTCCCGCTCCTGACTCCTCGTTTCCCTTCTGGTTCGGTCGCGGGAAGCCAAGTTCCGCGTGAAAAATCAATGGCGGAAGGACCGTCGCGACAAATTATGGAGAAGGGAAACGACTTTTGTAGCGAACACCGAAACGAAACGAGAATGGAAAAACCATGGGTCGTCGAGAAAATGTACGAAGCTAAATATGAACGAGGTTAAAAAGAGAGAGAGAGAAAAAGAAAAGGAAATACGGTTGGAATAATTCAATTTTTGATAGATCAAGTATCGTTGAAAGAAAAAAAACATCGCGCGTACACTGAGAGATGGCGCAGAGATCTTTCGCTACGATTATCCCCACTCTTAATGCTTTTGGACACTACGCGTTTAGTTCTTCACATTACACGCTATAGGAGATATTCTCTTGGATATTGAAAATCATGAATTGATGAATTATAAGATGTAACTATTTTCAATTACGAAATCAAAAGAGAGATTGTATTTCGTCGTTTCGTCGGTAGATCTTATCGCTATCTTTTTTTGTCGCACAATCGGATTAGTGTCTGTGTTGACAAATAGCACACGCTAGAAGCAAAATATGCGAAAATAAGCGTTTCGCTTTGACCACTTTGAATCAACATTCCTTACGCAGGATTTTTTTCCAGCAGTGAACAGCAGTAGGTTTTACTATTGCTTTGCTCGAGTTAGAAAGCACCGTTCCCTTTTGTTCGTGAACGGTGCTTTGTGCGGTTGCGAACAATCGACAACGAAGGTAGTCGTTCATTCATCCCCCACCACAACTCCATTTCTCTTGAACAGAAACCGCTGATCCACCATCCCTCCTGTATTTTTGTGTTGCTGTGAGGCGCGTGTAAATTGCAGCTTTTACAAAGGGTTGCCACACGCAGTTAGATCAACATCTGTCGCATGACCGGTACGAATGGGCATCGATTCCCCCCCTCCCTCCTTCCCGCTCGCGTGAAATCGAGGTCGGAGGGACGCAGCGTCATCAAACTACCTGTGTTACCGATCGGTTTGTTACCGACTCCCGAAAATAATACGCACCTCTTTATCCACCCGGTCAAATCAATTTTTTTTGGAAGTTGCACAATTGATTCATCGATCGTACATTCATTTCGATTCTATTGTATTTTCACCGTCACGATATCGATAACGTTGACAAAAATGTATCGAATAAACGTTAACCATTTTACCTCTGCACCCTGTTTCGATTAAAGCATTCGATCGTTCGCATTTCAGTTTCGTGGAACGATATCGGTGTAAAATCGGCGCGATATCGGCCGCGTTTTCACGCGAGAACAATCGGTCGTTTCCAATATATTTCGAAGAAGGGAAAAAAAGAATTGGTAAAATTTTCGTACCCGAATAACCGAACGAGCTGGAAATTCGGCCCACCCTTACGAGTCCCTTGACATTTTGCCAAGCACCCCCATTGAATCACCATATAAACGACTCGGGGGCTCGCGAGCTCGACCACCCCTGATCCGCCCTAACCTCAAATATACGTTTCATTTTAGTACGGTCGTACCGTACCACTCTAACCCATGATCATGGGCGTCGAACTTCTATTCTCTCTATTCTTTCCACGCACCTCGCCAAAGACAAAGACGTGTCGGATTCGTCGAACGAGAATTATTACGATATATACGATCGTACAATTTAAGCTACGTAAACGAACGAAAAGCGTTGAAAGAAAGAAAAAAAAAAAGAGAGAGAGAGAAATGGAGGAAAGAAAATATAATTTTCTCTTTAAACTCATGGAACGATGTTGCTTCCATAATTTTCTCGTAATTTTTATCCCACGAACGTTTTTCGATAAATCGAAAGCGTTGACTCGACGCCGGAAGAATCAAGATTCTATAGAAGATTGGAAACGTGAGGAGGAGGAGGAAGAGAGAGAGAGAAAAAAAAAAAAATGGAAGCGGCGCCAATGCGATGCGATCTGTTCACCCTCGATGATGGCGAGAGCGCGGTAGGTAATCCCAAGGGTGCCTCTGAGATTTCGCGTCGCCGCAATTCGTTCCTTCTTTCCTTCCTTCGCTCTTTCGAATTTTCATATTAATTCGTGAAAATCGAATTGACGAAAATCCATTGATCGATTCGATCATCCGTTTTTGATTCGCGATACTCTTCTAAAAAAACTCTTCAAAAAAATCCTCGCTTATTATCGAAAATTAAAAAATTAAAAAAAAAAAGAAAGAAATAGAAATTTAACCAGATTTCTTTCACTACAGAGAAAGACGTTCGAATCGTTGAAACGAAAACGAGAGACGTAGTAGCAGCGATCGCTTTCCTTCGTTCGTTCGAACGGTGTCAAACGTTTGTCCCCGACCCGCATAGCGTCGCTCGAGTGACAAACCTCCTCCTCCTCCCCCCTCTCCTCTTCCTCGTTGGCCACAGCGTGCATCGACGACACTACCACACCCTACCGGCCGCTCGTTGTCGAATAAATTCCCCGAGGTAAATAGTAAAATGAAATCTGCACCGGCACTCGGCCGCCGTGAAAACACAGCCCCTCATTAATTCCGACCGCCGCTATAAAACCCCAGAACAGCGGAACACATCGAGTGTAGACTAGTCTCCACCACCAACCCTTTTCATCCTATCTCTCCCTCTCTCCCTCTCTCTTTCCCCCTCCCTCCCGCTCCGCACCCACCTTCCCTTTTTCCACGGCCACCAGTGGCAATACGGTGAGAGGAGAGAACCGTGCTATACAACCACCCTCGACCACGTATAAAAGCCACGTATTCAATTACCCGGCATCGACCGGTCGAATAACGAATGTGCACGCCATGGAAAATATTCTCCGTCTGTTTTTGCGCGTATACACCAGTGTTAAAGCCCGTGCCACTGCCCCTTTCCTTCGCCACTGCCAATCGCGCGCCGATCTCTCTCGCGAGATTTCCACTCTCTCCGCCGAATGGCGGAGGCACGGACCGCAAACCGTCCGCAAGATATTTACCAAGATGTCATGAGAGAGAGAGATGGAGAGAGAGAGCGAGAGCGAGAGAGAGAGAGAGAGAGAGAGAGAGAGAGAGAGAGAGAGAGA